GTTTTCACATCCTGACAGTTCTCATTAATCTCAACAATTCTTAACCCTTTGACTGTTTCGGCCATATATATACATCTTACGAGCCAGTGTTTCAGACGTATATATATGTACTCAGTAATTCTAGTGGTTTCAAATCAAGCAGGAGAAAGCTGGTAGGCCCACATGTGAAAGAATGGGTCTGTGTGGTCAGTGTGCACCATATAAAAAAAATCCTGCAGCACACAGTGCATCATGAGAAATAAAAACTCTGACCGTGTTTTGGATTAAAACACTGACTTTGAGGTGTATTTTTGTATAGCATTTATGGTTGTAATCTCGTTTTCTTGGTCTCATATGATAGAATGGAAAACACATTACAGAAATAGAGATGATTTTGATTAGTTTCACGAAAACCACCGGAAATGTTTGATTTTTACCAATGTTCAGGAGTAAGCAAATCACACCACATGTCAAATGGGGAGTCTAATATTCTTTCACTAGTGCACTGATATTATTTATACCATTTTTACAATAATGCAGTAGTCTGCATAACAGTAAATCTTCTATTTTTTTGTGTGAATAAAAAATCAAAATAGAAAGCAAGAGTAATATAGGAGGAGCCTGGAGACGTGACTAATGAACAGATGATATGTTATTTTAGTGCCAGGAATGTCTGCATTGTTTATTCTAGACTCTATTTTGAAATTGGCATCTTTTTTAATTTGTGTGAAATTGGCCAAATTGCCAATTTTTGACCACTTTATTGAGTAGTTGAACTCGGTAAATGAGCAGTTTCTTGTACTCACTTGATATAAAAAATGGAGTTCTAAAGAAATAGCTAAGAGTTTGGTCGACTGGAACAATGGAATTGGCTGAAAATAGGGCTCAAAGTCGGCGAAATTGCCGATGCGTATATATCGCCGAGATTGCTAACTTTGCGAGAGCGTAATTCCGTAAGTTTTTGATCAAATTTTGTACTTTTGGTGTCATTACCATCGGGAAAAGATTCTCTATCATTTCATAAAAATAAAAATAATTTTTGTTTTTCCAAAAATTTTGCAACATAGAATGACAGTTTCAGAAATGGGCTTGTGACAGTCAAAGGGTTAAAGAAGGACGATAATTGACAGGGTTTCCACGCACAAGTGCTAAAGCATCAACAAATGCCCCCCTGATTTAAATTACTGGTGGTAAGATTCATGAAGAGTTCCTCAGTACCAAGTTACAGAATACAGTACTGTATTTTGAAGTGCAGTAACACATTTTCGTATCTGGTGCAGTGAGCCATGAAGATTGCTACTTTCCCCATGCCAGTTACCATACCTCTGGCATTATGAATGACCTATAGACCACAACATTCCAGATTCAACATAGGTTAAGTTAGGCAAGTGTCATCAGAAAACAGGTCAAGATATAGAAAATAGAGCCATTAGAGGATGGGAGGCAGAAGACACCACACTGATGGAGTTCAGAAGCTGGTGGTTACAGATAAATTTGACTGTTAGTGTCTCCTGACTGGCTCATGGAACTAGATACAGAAATATTTATTTTATCCTTCAGAATGTAGTCATTGCAACTGTGCAACTTGTTTTCAATTATGTTCAATGTTGGTTGATAGTTTTACCTGCAACTTTTTTTCCTTTATGCAAAGTCCTATCCTATCAAGCATGGCACACACTTTTTGTTATTTTAATATTTAATTGTTCATATTTATATAAAGCATGGAAATTTTCTTCATAAATAATTTTTAAATGCTTAATGTAGTTAATATTTATAATAGCGTATTATGTACAGTGTATTTGATCAAGATCAACGGCTATTTTCAAAAATATTTATAATTTGAGCAATATTACAGTTGAAGGTAACTACGCCAAAGTCATTATTGAAATTGCATTTGATTAAATTCTAGTAATAATTGTTTATGAGGAATTTAGATTTAGCATTATAGCATTATTTTATTTGTATGAAAAATATATATTTTTTTTATTGAAAATCAGTTGATCTGGGTTGTGCTTGAAAGTGAGCCTGAGTTTGAGTTTGTGTTGTGGTTGAATTAACCTACTTATCAGAGATTTATTATAAAATTTCTGACTTTTCTTTGTATTGCAATTTTCCCATGTGTGTCAGATTTATTATTGTCTTCACATTTTTTCTTTCATATTCACATGCATGCAGACACACTCGCATACATGCATGCATGCACATGCGCAAGTACACACATACACAAAAAAAAAAAATAGAAATGTTTTGATAAGATTCATCTCCTAATTATGAATTTTTGGTGAGCTGTTTCAGTCACGATATTGTGACATTTTACTCTTCTGATGGAAAAATTTTCAATACACGGCTCACATTTCTGTCATATGTTGTAAATAATGAAATACGAAGAAAGGTCTTATTGACCAAAGCTTGTGCTGTCTTCCACACACTACCCACCACTCTACATTATTGATCTTCTGTCTAAACTTCTTCATATTAAAATTATTCATCTATGTACTTGAACAAGTACATTAAGTCTGTATGTAATCTTTTGTGGGAAATCAAGAGGTAGTGAATAACTGACAGTGAGCCTGAGTCTCTGCTCCTGCCCTGAACGTTTGCATGTTCAGGGACCCGGCAAAAAAGACTTTCTTCATGTTTGCTAGAAATTACACTCAACTATAATTGTATATGAAGGGCGATAAGATGAGGGGAGTTGAACTTCTGGATAACTTGCATTAATGGTATGCAATACAGGCAGGTAGATGAATAAGACACATGCAGTAGTTTAGTATATTTATTGATGACTGAAACAGCCCACTGAGCAGGCAAAACATCTCATCAGTAAAAATACTGAATTGTTGTACGTGTGTCTTGTCTATGTCTAGTTTTTAACCCTTGCAGGGTCGGTCCTATACATGTACGGCTTTGCAGCCAGGGTCGGTCCCGTACTTATAGTGTGGAACCTCGGTTTTCGTATGTCCTAGTCTGTATGTAAAACTATAGTTATTCTCTATAAAATGTATTTTTTGTTAATATTTTTGGGTGTCTGGACTGGATTAATTGGATTTACATTATTTCTTCTGGGAAATATTAACAAAAAATACATTTTATAGAGAATAACTATAGTTTTACATACAGACTAGGGCATATGAAAACCGAGGTTCCACTGTACGCCAAAATTCTAGCACCTTGAAATCAAATGGGAGAAAGCTGGTAGGCTTACATGTGAGAGAATGGGTCTGCGTGGTGAGTGTGCGCAGTATGAAAAAAATCGGAGCACCTGCATTGCATTGTGGGAGTGGTAATTCAGTGCGCCTTGGTCACCAAGCCAAGCAGTAAGGAATACCTCACTTTCCGACGACTTGGGACCCTTCCCTTCCTAAGTGATAGTTCTAACACAATTTGATGTGTCAATGAAGATGAATATAATGGTTTTGAGGGGTTTGTGACAGAAAGTAATGACCAGGATACCAGAAATAGTGATGAAAACCCACACCATAATCAACTTTCCACCAAAAAAGTAAAAAAAGTGACTTATTTTACTGTGGGTGGTGGAGAAGACAGCATAGTTGGTGGGAAAGACAGTGTGGGTGGTGGGGAGTTAGCGTCAGTGGTGTGGAAGGCTGTGTGGGTTTGTGTAAACATAGCAACATATGTGTAGATTACCTAGGATAACCCAAAAAAGTCAGTCAAAGTGACTTATTTGCATGTGGGTGGTTGCATGTGGCTGGCTGGCTGGCTGGCTGGCTCGCCGGCCGACCTGACTGGCCGGCCGACCTGACTGACCTGATTGACCTGACTGACCTGACTCACTCACTCACTCACTCACTCACTCACTTCCTCAGTGATTCTACAATATGTATGATACTAAAGCAACACGAGTAAATGAAGGCTAAAGTGCCACCCAACTGTATCTCAGTAAGTATTGATTGCAAATTTTTTTTTCTAAAACACTCAGAAAAATAGTCTTAAGATTTTGGTAAGAATTTTTTTTTTTTTTTGACCCTGAGTGGGAGTTAAGGATCAAGGGTCTCGACCCTCTAGGGGTTAAATAGACTTTAAGCATTAAGATTAGTTTGCCTGAAATGCATTGCATAATAGTGGCTTTCTTATGTGCCTAACAATATTTTATTACATGTAAACTCAGTGTACTGCATAAAAGAAATAATAAAACTGAATTTGAATTTGACTACCTGATCAGAGACGTCACGAAACAAGAAGCTTCAACTAGTTTTACATACTTCTTGTATGCTACTTCTTGACTACATTTATCCAGGGAAACACTGAGAGAAAACTATTTTATCACTAGAAATGTTTGAGGTCTGAGCTTTGCTCAGATCTCTAACACAATTGTCCTCAGAGATTTGTTAAGTTATACTATGAATTGCGGAAAGATCCTGGACTTAACCTTATGTAACAGACAAAGCAAATGCAATAGTAATTATGGACAAGGTAGATCATAGTCGAGAAATGAACATGTTATTAGAAGACGGGGGAACTTATGTGCCTCTTAACTACCAGGATAGGCTAAGAGCTATGCAATTGATGTCTCTTCAGACAAGGTTTGACACAACTGAGCCCTTAATGACTGAGATACTGATCATATCAGAATAAGTAGACCTTGACCACTTATTCAAGAAGTTCAAAGTTTTACCTACAGATTTGCAGCAAGACCATAGTAATGTACTCTTTTCCTAAAGAGAAAGCCTATGGAGCAGTTTTTACTGCTAAAGTCATGAAAGCTGAGACTATTACAATTCAAAATTGAACTGAGAAAACTTAGCAGGGTTCTGACAAAAGCCATTACTTGTGTATTCATCCTAAAGTTACTAGAGATGGCAAGTAAATACAGGTACATGTTTATGAATAAACTACTAACAACAAACATATCCATTCCAAATATTATGCTATAGGTAAGTACAATTCATATATACAGTATATGCTCATATATGCATAAACAAAACAGATATATTCAGTGTTGGTTTTAAGTTGGCATATATATCAATTTGTACAAAATCATTTTGAATTTTACTGTGCAGATCATTGTCTGATGGAGCATCTTCATATCAACGATCTCTCTCCACATCTGACTCCCTGACACGTCCTCGGTCTCTGGAGACTGAAAATAACCTGAACTCGGATCACACACCCAAAGCAGAGAAAGGCAAGTTCAGAGGTTGTATTTTAGTGATACCTTCTTATAATTTCCCTTGCATATTGCTGGTATTTTTCTTGGTAATACTTAAAGGAGTGCAGGTTTTCCCTGATGCTGCTTTATTAAAGCAAATGTAATTCAACTGAAGAATTTTCAAAAAAGAGTGAGCTAGTGAGGGCTTATTATCTCCGATATTTAAGACAATATGTAATAGGTAAAGTGAAACTCAAAAGAGAATCTTTGGGTGTAGTGTAATATTTGAGTCTGCATAATTCTGTAAAGCTTCTAATGATGAGGAGGATCACACTACGCTATCATAACTAGTGCATCATGGTATTTGATTGCTTATTCTTCAGTCAAGTAGACAGATTAAAGGGGATTTTGAGGCAGACTCAGGATTTTATGTGAATAGGAATGTGTTAAAAGTTCCAAGAAGTTTCAGCAGTCTCCCTTAAACTGTAAGGGAATTTACCATTGGCTCACAAACTGTCTTGAGGAGGGAACTTGGTAAGATCGTCCAGGTAGTTCCTGATCAGTCAGGCTTTTCTGCTTTTGATGGACTGTGTGCAGCTGTCACTAATATCCTGTGGGTAATGTTAAGACATTTAAAGCAAGCTTTTTTTTTTTTAAGACAGTGATTTTCTCAAGGAAAGTTTTATCAAAATAAACCACATTTCCGTATGCAGAATAGTCCTTCTAGTGAGGTGTAATGATGTTATGACTGTGCAGGATGTCACTAGATCAGGATCAAATGACTAGGTCATGTATGGGCTTTTATCCATGTAGGATGAAGTTTACAAGAGGATTCCTGCAGGCATCCCAATTCTGTTTCCTGAACAGACCTTAATAACAGGTAATCCTTGTGAATTTTCATCAGTAATCACAGAAATATTACCTGCTTGGCACCTGTAGTATCATCCTCAGGATCTTAAGTGGTAATATGACATAATTGTTCAACATTATGAATAATGGAGTCATCCTTCAGTTTGTCAGTGATGCATAAGAGGATAACTCCAAGTTGGTGTGTGGTTGAGCAGTTAGCAGACACAGTGAACCACCACTAAAATTAGAAACAGCCGGATGATTATTGACCATTAACTGTAAAGTGGGCAGTTGAGATGGAGATGTGGTGGAAGTTCTTTTCTGGTAGTCCTTAAGTCTGCAGAAAACATGTATTTTTAAGTGGTAGGTGAACCCCTGAAAAAATAATACTGACGCTTAATATAAAGTAAGTGTAAGTTTCCACTGAAATCTACCAGAAGTTCAACTAAGCACACTGAACAAGGTAAACCATGTGAATGCAGCCTGTGTACCATGCACAATGTATGTGAATCACTTTCCTCCATGAGGGAGGAGCAGGTTGAGTGGTCACATAAAACACTGAGTTCTCCCTGATAGGAAAAAGCTCATATTGAACACAAAAAGGCAGTTGAATGGTAGGGTGTACCTGAGCAGTGTCTGAAACCTTTAAAGCAAGTTCATAGGATAAACTGAATGAAAAAGTTTTTTAAAGTTTGTACTGAGAATTGGTACAAGAGGTTCAGTGAGTTACAGGCAGTTGCCTAGTGAACTTGTTCCCTAATGTATCCTTAGCAGCTAAGTGAATTAAACTTGGCTAATGTTTACTAAGCAGGAAATTACTGTACAGTACTGAGACATACCAAGTATACTTAAGACTAAAGCAGGTGCTTGATAACTTGTTATTAAAAGATGATATAGCTTAGGTGCGTAGGAAACACTACAAGCTTCTTTAAGCTGCACCTCCTCACTATCATTGAAGGTACAAACCCTGGTTGTCCAAGGAAGATTGCCAGGATATGTATATTGAGAGGTGTCTGTTTCTTAGTATATACATGTATAGGCTGAGAGTTTACTTTAATCTCTATTTTAGGTATTAAAATATTTTGTCTGGTGGTGAAAAGGTTATATGCAGCCTTAATGACCCTGTTGTTGTTGATAAGCTTTAAACTCCATTAACCATTACCTAATCTCAACACATATACTGCTATGTATGATAATCTGTGTAGCTGTATTTGTGTATACCTGAATAAACTTACAGTGGAACCTCAGGTTTCGTTTGCCCTGGTTTTTGTCGAATTTGGTTTTCAACAACTTTTTCGTCAAAATTTTGTCCCACTTTTCTTTCATCACCTCCGTTTTCATCGGTCCACCATACTGAACGTGTCCGCCTGCCTGCGCCCACACAAAGCATCCCATGCATTCTGAATCACTCTGACTTTGTTTCTTATCGAGTGAGCATTACCCTGCGCGTTCATCCGAAATATTTTGTAATAATCTATTTTTTTGTCCTTGTTTATTGAGTGCTACTGCTAAATAAGCCACCATGGGGCCAAAGAAAGTTCTAAGTGCCAGCCCTTTGATAAAGAAGGCGAGAAACATGATAGAATTCAATTATGGCCAGAATGTGTCCAAGAGAAGGATTTTGAAGGGTTTGAGGCTGACTTTGACAACCATTCCCCTGTTGTGGAATCTATTGTGGGTTAGGGAAAGTCCATGAGGTTGGATGTGAGTGGCTGGGATGTGGAAAAGTTGGTGGACGACCACAGGGAAGAGCTAACCACTGAACAGCTGCAACACTTTCAACTGGAACAGCAACAGATCGCAGCTGAGGAAATTGCTTCAGAGGAGGAAGAATGAGTTGCAAAGTGGAATGAGTTGCAAAGTTTTGTGGAGAAATATCACCCTAACAAAGCTGTTGCAAGCCATGTCTGCAAAATGTTCAATGACAATGCCTTGTCCCATTTTAGTCAAATCTTGAAGAGACACCAGAAACAGACCTCTCTGGACAGATGTTTTGTGCAACAAGGGTCCAGTGACTCAAGCTGGTATTAGTGCCAGTAAAAGACAAGGGAAGTAACCCCGGATAGGGACTTAATACATAAAGTCCTTATGGACGGGGGATTCCCTTTCCAAACAATAACCTGTCCTCCTCCCTCTCCCCTCCTCGCATCTTCCATACACCAACAAGAGTCTTTGATGAAGGTAAAAGTGATATTAAATGTTCATTTATCCATTTCATTAGTCCTTTATAGTTATTTCTCATTGTTTCCTATATGTAAAACTATAGTTATTCTCTATAAAATGTATTTTTTGTTAATACAGTAAAGCCTCGCTTTACAGCGTTTTGCCTTACGGCATTCCGCTAATATGGCGATGTCAAATTATGACCAAAATTTGCTATATTTCAAGTGTTTTAAAGTTACTGCACATTTTATATGTACTCTGATAATTATACTTAAGTGTACCTGTACCTAAATATACTTACACACTGTGCTGGTGTGCAGGTACACGTTAAAATCACTAAGTCTCTCTCTACTCGTGATGCCAGTACTACATAATAATAATCACTCTTGGGCACACTAAATGTCTTATTTTACATCAATATAGGCATTTTCATTAATCCATCTATGATATTTTCCTCAAAATTATATATGAAACCCATTACATAGTATATAAACATGATACATACACTCACAGAATAAAAATTGATGTAAATATGAGATTTGTTTACAAAGCAGCTGTGTAGGCAGTGTCGGAAGAATTACGTTTTCTCTAGTCACACTGGGGGATAACTGTAGAAAAATATTCTTTTCGTATGCCTTTACTCTATATATAGCAATTCACGACCCTTGTGGGTTTAGTGCTTTTTATAATAAATAATAATAATATTATTATTAATATTAATAACATTATTATTAATATTAATAATAATATTATTATTGCATGCATAGTTCCTTTGTATAAAGGCAAAGGGGACAAAAGAGAGTGCAAAAATTATAGGGGGATAAGTCTGTTGAGTATACCTGGTAAAGTGTATGGTAGAGTTATTATTGAAAGAATTAAGAGTAAGACGGAAAATAGGATAGCAGATGAACAAGGAGGCTTTAGGAAAGGTAGGGGGTGTGTGGACCAGGTGTTTACAGTGAAACATATAAGTGAACAGTATTTAGATAAGGCTAAAGAGGTTTTTGTGGCATTTATGGATTTGGAAAAGGCATATGACAGGGTGGATAGGGGGGCAATGTGGCAGATGTTGCAGGTGTATGGTGTAAGAGGTAGATTGCTGAAAGCAGTGAAGAGTTTTTACGAGGATACTGAGGCTCAAGTTAGAGTATGTAGGAAAGAGGGAGATTATTTCCCAGTAAAAGTAGGCCTTAGACAAGGATGTGTGATGTCACCATGGTTGTTTAATATATTTATAGATGGGGTTGTAAGAGATGTAAATGCGAGGGTCTTGGCAAGAGGCGTGGAGTTAAAAGATAAAGAATCACACATAAAGTGGGAGTTGTCACAATTGCTCTTTGCTGATGACACTGTGCTCTTGGGAGATTCTGAAGAGAAGTTGCAGAGGTTGGTGGATGAATTTGGTAGGGTATGCAAAAGAAGAAAATTAAAAGTGAATACAGGAAAGAGTAAGGTTATGAGGATAACAAAAAGATTAGGTGATGAAAGATTGGATATCAGATTGGAGGGAGAGAGTATGGAGGAGGTGAATGTATTCAGATATTTGGGAGTGGACGTGTCAGTGGATGGGTCTATGAAAGATGAGGTGAATCATAGAATTGATGAGGGGAAAAGGGTGAGCGGTGCACTTAGGAGTCTTTGGAGACAAAGAACTTTGTCCTTTGAGGCAAAGAGGGGAATGTATGAGAGTATAGTTTTACCAACGCTCTTATATGGGTGTGAAGCATGGGTGATGAATGTTGCAGCGAGGAGAAGGCTGGAGGCAGTGGAGATGTCATGTCTGAGGGCAATGTGTGGTGTGAATATAATGCAGAGATTTCGTAGTTTGGAAGTTAGGAGGAGGTGCAGGACTACCAAAACTGTTATCCAGAGGGCTGAGGAAGGGTTGTTGAGGTGGTTCAGACATGTAGAGAGAATGGAGCAAAACAGAATGACTTCAAGAGTGTATCAGTCTGTAGTGGAAGGAAGGCGGGGTAGGGGTCGGCCTAGGAAAGGTTGGAGGGAGGGGGCAAAGGAGGTTTTGT